CTTGCTGAGCTCTTGGCCCCTCTTGGTCACCGGTTTGTTGTGGCTCTTGACAAAGCTCGCGATGGAGTGTGGACGTGCTAAGGAGTTGGAGCGAGAGACCTGCGTCGGTAGAGCGTGTAGCGTCACATGGAGGGCGTCAGCGCCAGTGTCGTGAGCGAGTAGAAGTTCAGATGTGGCGCCAATATCTGCGCTGGGGTTCAGAGTGTCCAATGCATGTTGTAGGAGAAGCGGATTCGCTCCGGAGGTGAATTGGACGGCGCTGGACGACGCGGAGGCGAGCGTCTGTTGCAGGAAACTGCCGGCTGTGCCCTGAGACTGCAGGGTCTCGATGGACCCGACGACGAGCACGCGGTTCACGCGCTTCTGCAGTGAGGACAAGGCGGTGAAGCGCACCATTTAGATACGAGATCTCGGATTGGATAATGGTGGATTGCAAGAGGGATGAGGAGGGATGAAGGAACAGTTGAAGCGAGAGGTATAGTGGACGCAAGAGAGAACGACGTGACCCCCTTCCGTTGAGGATGAGTCTATATGTGTGAAAAAATGTCGTAAAATAGCATGGATTTGTGGCAGAACCCACAAAAAATGTGGAAAATTAATTACTATTGTGGTATTGGTATCTCACATTTTTTTATCGCTGTATTATGGGCATCATTGTGGTGCAGATTTTGCTGAATGACAATGCCGACAACGACTTCGAGGATAGACCAAGCACGCAATCTTGTCCTAAGTGAATCGAGCTCTCGTGGCTTGCTCACAGCTAACCCCAACAAGAAGAAATTTAGGACAAAAACTAGGACAAAACTTGAGGATCTTGCTTGGCGTCAGTTTTGGTAGAAGATCATGCGGACGTATGTAGAAATATAGCCCTTTAGTAACTCCTTACAACTGTGTCAGTAACGCTCTGTTAAACCTACGCGTTGTTGCGGGAGCTGCTCAGCCGCAAGGTGTCTAAAATTCCTACCCAGTGGGTAATTTGACCTTATCTTTAGGACAGAAGTCCTCGAATCCAATAGTATAATCAAACGAAAATTTAGTCCCACACAACGTGGCGTCAGCTGTGATATCAGACAGAGGCAGTTGCGTTTCTAGCACTCGATTTTTGTCCTTATAATCGGGGTCTTAAGAACAAAATCACGCGGAATCTGAAGTTTTTTTTTATCTTATTTCGTCCTCTTTTTAAGAACAAAAATTGTTGGAGCTAAGTATTAAAGATGATCCCATCGGTGGTCATAGCCATGGAAGCCCCAATTATTTCCTGTCTCAGGGTAAAGAAATACTATCTATGAATGTACTGCAAAACAAATGGATCCGAGCACCATTAGAATGGAACAGTACAAAAAATTACTAGTGGAGGCGATTGATGGCTTTGCGTGCGGAACGGCATGGTGAAGCCAACCGCTCTTCAGATGATTCCACAGGTGGCCTTACGAACATCGGTTGCTTTATAAAGTGGCTCTAGTGTCTGGTGGTCAACCAGAGGAACACCTGCGACAAGCTCGGCTATCTCGGCTTTGATCGCTTAGTCTCCTTAGGTTTGTGCGGCCGCACCGATACGAGGGTTGCTGCGCCTTTTTGGGAGCGCCAGACCTCCCACACCACTGTTTTGCCGAGCTTGAAAGTCGCTGTGGCACTCTGCCCCTCAGCCACCGCCCATGTTCTACGAGCGGCAAGGTCCACTAAGAAGAGAGCCACCACGACTTTCTTCTCAGCAGTTAGCGACTTTTATTCTAGTGTAAGGGGCATGGCTGGAGGGCGGTGGCTTTGTTTGGTAGTAACCTGAGAGTTATAATAGACACTTCTCCCCCTAAGTTATAAATATTAAATCGCTGTGTTCTAGCAAAAACAGCAAAATCCAACCGTCATTGCGGTCCACATAATGAACCTTATTCGTTATGTGGACCAAACCACAATGACAGTTGAATTCTATTGAGGGTTACCGGTTCCTGACGGTATATACCGGTTCCCGAACCTGTCCAACACGATCCCGCGATGATTATGGTACGTTGATTACGCCACTAGTGATT